GATTTATTCTTCTTTCTTCTTCTCTAAGAACAGCTTGTTTTTTCTTTTTTCTGTATTCTTCATACTTATTTTCTTTTCTTTTCTTAGCAAGCTGCAGTCGTTTTCCGTCGATTCGCTTCGCAATATTTATGGTAAACTTCCCAGGGCTAATTCCACTTTGCTTTTGCATCCCAGTCACTGAATATGCTCTCCCTGTGTTATATTCACAAATAGCTTGGCCTACTGCCATTTGTATTGTTTTGAGGTTCACAAACACTGTTTTGGGACATTTCGACCAAATGACTTGATGAAGCGCTTCGTTTGCATTTTGCGTTTTCCCTGTTACGCACTTTTCTAATAGTGAGCTTGAGGTAAGCCTGGCGTAAATTGGTTTTATTTTGTCTATCACATGCTCAGCAAGAGGGGTTTTTATCATTTTGGTGTGTACTTCGGGAATTTCACCATTAGCCAGTGCTCTTTGAAAAAAACACCATGATTCTTTACCTTTTGGACACTTTTCGTGCTGAGGCTTCTCGTCCGTTGAGGAACAATGACTAAGGGTAGCGTAAATTGCATTCCTCATACTTTCCACGCTCTCCAGATTGTTTTGTACGGCATTCCTGTAGTACGATGTCAATTTGTCAATAACAACTCCCGTTAGGGTTCCAGGTCCTTTTCCTCCGAGGGGCATGTCGCTTTTCCGATTATCTAGGACAGCTTTTCTTAGGGCAGTGCCAAGTCTCTTAGCCACGTGGTTTAGGCATTCAATTTTTTCTAGTTTTGTTTCTTTATAGATTTCAATATCATGTAGGTGAGCAAATGCTTTGGCATCACCATCTGACACAACAGTTGTATATCGGAAATTATTTTCTTCCGACCTGCGCCAAATTCTTTCTGCTGCGATCATCTCCATTCCAGGTGAAGAGCCATCGTAATTGGAGTTGCAGTTAGGCTTGTGCTCATCATACCATAACTGATAAACTTCTGAGTTATCCCCATATAAGACTTTACTCTGTTCACATAATGAACAGAACTTTGACAGCACCTCAAAGTCAATCACCAGACCCGTTGTAACCTCTATGCAGCAGCCTACACCGTACTTGGAAGTGAAGCCTCGCTTCTGCCAGGTACCATCGTAGCTGACACACAAATCAAGTGTTTTGTTTGGATTGTCAATATCACCTAGGTCAGAACAAGCTTTTCGAACTTCACATCGGGCTTCTTTGAGAGATTGTTCGACATTCCGCTCTATGCTTGCGCATAATGATTTTTTATGCCTAAAAAAGGCATTTTTTTGCATCACCTTCATATTCATAAACATGCTGAATGACTCAAGTGCTCTATGATGCTTACCCATGTAAGTAAAAGCTGACACAATCCTTCGGTTTACATCGTAAGGCGGCCTTGTTGATTTTTCTGATGGGCCTAGGCTATCCTGACCAACGCGTGTTGACGATTCAAAGACGAAGTCCTCCTCACATGACTCACATGACAGACAAAGTAATGTAGCATATCCTTCACTAACAGTGCTTTTGACATGAAGAGAACTACCACATGCACAAATAGGACATAAGAACTGGCACATGAAATTGGTAAGTAGTTTCTACTAGTGCATACTGCGGCGCATTGTCATTTTCAGTAACTACATTATTGTAACTATCATACAATGCAAAGCCTGTAGGCTTGGATGAAGAAGGCTCTCCTTGTTCATTGTTTGTCTGTTCATTATCTGAGGTTTCATCTTCACTGTATATAACCTCAACATCTTCTAAGTTACATATGGGCCTAGGGTCAGCCAGAACCTGAGGTGGTGGATCAGTTTTCTTCCATCTACAAGAGATTGACTTTTTATTTTTGGATGATAATTTACCTTTTCTAGGCATTATTACTCACTTTTATTATCTGTAATGAAAATAATAAACCAAAACTACTTTTATAATCACTAACAAACATATAAGGTTAGGTTTCACTCACAACAACAAACATTTGAAGATGACACAAGGTTTCTGTTTGTTATTTATTCAAACAGCTGTTTTTGCTGAGATTGGCTGACAGTGTACAATAAATATCAAAGACAACAAGACAAAAACACCAAAATACAAAATTTATCTCAGCTATAATTTACATAACTATAAAAAAACATAGTTTTGGTAAAAACACAGCGAAATGCTGACCGAAATTTGCCCAAAATTTACGTGTAAGCATTATTTTAAAAATTATTATTATATATAAATATATAAATTTTTGCAACAAAATTATGTTTGTCTGAAGACAGAAAGACCTCAAAAATAATTAGGGACCAAAAAAATATTTTCCATATTTTAGCAGTTTTTGACCAATTTTCAGTGTACCCTCCCCTTAATTTACCTAATTATGTATTAAAGATAGGATTTTCTAAAGGGTCAAGGGATTCTTTAGGATGGTAGAGATAGGTAATCTTCTTTCTTTTACTCCATACATCTTGATCTTCTTTGCCAGGGGTCCATCAGGCATAAACCCAGAAGAGAGGAGGAGGGCCACGGATTAAGAAACCCAGGAGTGAACAACATAAATGTAATTCTAATAGTGTTTGTGTTTATTTGTTCTTTTAGATTGCTTTTCCTATTTCCTTCATATAATTGTTCATTTTCTTGTAAATATGATAATTTCCAGATTTCGGGACTTCTTGTAGGTTGTTTCTATACTTCCTATATTATGTTTCTTTAAGATGTTTATCTCTGAAATAATTATAATTTGGGCAGTCCTAAAATAGGTGCATCAATGATTCATCTTCTCCTAGAGTGCATTTCAAGCAAAGTGAAAGTGTGGTAAAGTACATGTTCTTAGAATGGAGATACTTATTCACTCTGACATTGCCTAGCCTAAGTTTGCATATTCGTTATTTCCATCCTGTTGAGTAAGTATTCGCATGGCTCATTCACGCCCTGGTTGAAGTTCGTTCGCTACGCTCACTCACCTTGAGGTTGGAGCTCCTTCGCTGCGCTCACTTGCCTTCAGTTAGCTCGTTCGCTTTTTGCTACGCTAACTCGCATCCAGATTGAAGTTCGTTCGCTACGCTAACTAACCATTTGTTTGGAAATTAGCTGTTGTCAAAAATTTAAAAAAAAATTTTTTTTACAGCATTTATTTCTGGTTCAATATGTAGACATTATACACAGAAGTGTTAACAAAATTAAAAAGAAATTAACTATAATAACATCGTGGGTTCGCCCAAACCTGGTACACCCTGTAACATAATTAATTTAGAGAATAATTTAATCGTCTTTAGGCTTCATTCATCCAATTAGATCTTGAGGGAGCCTTCGACGTAGCCTCCTGTTCTCAGTTGCTTCACCAAGATGAAAAGTTAATGCACCAGGAACATTGTTTAAGATTTTAGAAATTTTGAGGTGGTTTTTTCAATAAAGGCCGAGATAGACTCCACTCCTAGTTCTTCATGTATATGCCTGTTTCTAACAAACCAGGGAGCATTCACCGCTATTCTTAGAATTTTGTTTTGAATCACTTGAATTGAAGAGTTTGTTTTTTGATATAGCTAAATCCCCAGATAGGAGATGCATATGTAATCAAGGGCCGAATTATTGATTTGTAGATTAGAACTGTACAAGCTGGTTTCAGAGTAGATTTCCTATTGATTAAAGGGAAAAGCTTTGCAAGGCGTGCATAACCTTGGGACAGTTTTTGATTAACGTGGTAGTTCCAATTAAGTTTTTTGTCCAGCCATACTCCAAAGATATTTTATGGCCTGGTCATCAGGGTTCCAAGGTAGAAAGGTACCATATATTTGAATTTCATGTGGCAATGTATGTTTTTTCAAGGAAAATATTTTTGTCTCACATTTAGTTGAATTTAGGCGAAATTTCCACTTGTAGAACCAATCAATGAGAAGATCCACAGAGTATTGCAGGGAATACGTGGCCTCGTGGATGTCGGAATGTTGGCACAGGATAGCAGTGTCGTCGGCGTAGAGAGCTAATGAGGCTAAACAAATAATAATTGTACTGCACCATGTTGGTAATCCTTGTAACGTTTATGCTATTGAACATCATAGAACAGAACCAACTTGTTTTATTGAAACAGCTGTTAAGATTCATTAATTCCTTTTAAATATGAAAAATCATAAGATTATTAACATGGGGAACTACAGAGCCACTGGGGCGGAGCCCGAAAGGGTTTCTGAGATAAGAATATGCTTTAATGTTAATCGGGAATGTGAGCTATCTTCATGCCAAATTTCAGCCCAATCCGTCCAGTAGTTTATGCGTGATTGAGCAACAAACACACATACAAACTCACAAACTTTCAGATTTATAATATTAGTAAGATATGTATATATCCTTGAACGCATTAACTTGAGTAATTTTCGTCCGATTTTGATGAAATTTGGTTTAAAGGTGTCAGGAAAACTTGACTAAACTTGAATGAGTTTGCGAACCAGCATGATCGGACCATAGATTTACTATCTCTCTAAACCTTTTAAAGAGCTTAAAAAAAAACAAATAATATAGTGTATCAAAGTGTTTTCACAGTTATTTGTAACAGAGAAGATAAAAAAAATTGTAAATTTAAAATTTCCATGTTATTCTTATGGAGAGTGTTGTAAAACGTAGTTTGCTTGTTTATGGATATATTTTGATCTAGCCTAACTTGGCAAATTTATTTATTGTATACTAGCTAATAACATTTTACTAAAAACCCCACTTTAATAGTTTCCTTGCAGCAGCAAACCTGGTACTCATCTAACCTAATGTTATTCAAATAGATTTAATTGAAAATCAATTCAGACAAATGGAAATTCGCTTAGTTGGCAGGTTTGCTCCGGCGGGGGTATTTATTTACTTTCTGCTTGAATCAGAAAATTGAATTGTTGGTTGTGTTGTCTCGTCCTTGTGCGTCCTTGTCATTTATATCAGCTGTTGCTGTTTGAGTTGTCTGTTGTCTTGAATATCGTCTTGTCTTGTCATGTTGTTGGTTTCTGGTTTGGTTTGGTAGTCATTCACTATTCAGTTCAGTCAGTCTGAGTTGCTCAGTTCAGTGGTTGTTGTTGTTATTGTTAGTTAGTTTAGTTAACGTTTAAGTTATTTACCTATTCGAATTATTTTATTCTTTAATAATTACATTGGTACAGGCCTACGATTTGATGATGAGCCCAGTTAAGAAACTGAACCTTTTTATTTATCAATAGGAACTTTACCTAACTTCCGAAGATTTTATTCGTTTTGTTTGGTAAATTTAATTGGATAAAGGACTGAAATATATATTTTTCTTCCTATATTAAGCCTAAATAGTCCACTTATATCCTTGAAAATGTCAGTTAACTCTGAAAGTGTGGATGTTGATGAAAAAGTACCAAAAGCCAATGTTATCAACTCAAGACTAAATAAGCTGTTTGATTCTCGTTTTGAAAATGATAAGGTCAGTGTGAACATTTAATTTTCCTAACCCTAGGGTTAGCTTATCAAATGTTAACTTATTTGGGGTGCACTTCCGTATCTTTTGTCAAAAACAACCGAATGAAAATATCGATCGATATATCGATTATTCCATTTCATATATCGTTTGGTTAGTTAGGTTAACCTAACCAACCAACGATATATATTTATTTATTCATTCCAACGGATACACCATTTACAAAATAATAAGTATGTGTTTTAAGAGCAGAATGAAAAAATAACAATTGCATTGGAAATAACAAGAGAAGTTAAGTACATATAAACATTGAACAAATTAGCATTGCAACAAAAAATAATACAACAAGACAGCCATTTACCATTTACCATCTGGTGTCTTCTCCACAATCCAGGGATCGGGGAATCGTCAGCAACGAAACAACAATAACAGATAATAACATTAACAGAGTAGGCTATTGTACAGATAATAACAAAAAAATAGCCTATTTAGGCCTAATATTAATTTGGATTTCAGAAAATGCATGTACCTAGGTTAGATTTTGAAAGTACAGCGACAAAAAATATCTCCTCAAGATTTAACGATATATCAAATCATTTTTCATTCGGTTGTTTTTGACAACAGATATGGACTTATATAAGTTACCCCCTATTTGCTTGAGACTATAGTTTAGGTCTAGGCATAGGCCTAGTTTCTAGATTACATGTACAGAAAAGATTTCACATTTGACCAGGCCGGGCCACCTTCAGAGCCCAGGGCCCCGGGGCTTCGGCCCCTCTGTCCCACCCTCTGGAACCATGATTTATGTAGGCCTATCTATCTTGAAAATATAGTGTAAAAAGAAACTAAGTTTAAATTGAGTCGTTTGTTTATTATTTTACATTATTAATTACGGTATGCTTGAAATTCTTTATGTAAAACCTTTTACTTTTTTTGTACAATATGTATTTTATAATTTGTAAACCTATTTGAAAGGCTAAGAAATCCTATTGACATAAGAATAAAAAAGCTTTATTTGAAGTTTGCTGTTTTTTTTGTTCATAAATTTACAAAATTACGCATTTTAACAAAAATGTTTTTTACATACAGGATCAATATTTTATCTTTAAAATAGCGTTAAAATTAAGTTTCAGCTATTTATTTATATTTTAAACATTTCCCCCCCCCCTCCCGCAAATAAGGCCTCCCTGCTATTGATGCCAGCTCTAGGGGCCCTTTTGGAGAATTTTTGCAGGGGGGCCCATATTTTGTAGATCCGGCCTTGTCTCAAGGTGGCATCAATATTTCGACATTCTGGTGACAAAGACATTTACTATCGCCTCTTAAGTTCAAGGCAATATATTGACATCCCCTCATGTCGCAAAGACATCATCCGCCTTTTGAATAGGATCTTGTAATAAAATCTATTAGTTAGTTCTAAGGTGATATTGACAAAAATGAAATTAAGCTAAGTTAACCAAGTTTGAAGGAGGATGACAAGTGAGATGAAATATGGATGAGTCCCCAGGCCTAATGTTGATTATTTACAACAATACGGTACCGGTACATCAAAAGTGACCTTTTTCTAGTCTAATTTCTAGGTATTAATTTCTTTAAAAAGATAGTGGTAACTTAGCCTCTAGATTTAGATTCACAAGGCTAAAACTCTGAAGTTAGATTGAATTTAGGTTGAAATTTCATATGGAGGCACTCGTATTAGTCAAATACCCAATGGGGGTTTGAATCGACACTTTAAATTAGAATGACTAAGTTAAGCCATTTTCGTAGGTAAAAAGTCTAACTTAGCACTCACATCAACAGTGGACCCTACACCCTACCACATCTCACTAGTAGTGTAGCGCTTAATTTCCAGGCCCTATAGAATGATTCATAAGCCACATTCCCACGATGCCGTTTGCACAGACTTCCAATGGGGCTTAAAAAAAATTAACGAGGGTAAAAAAACTAAACGAAGGCTGTGATACTTAGGGCCTAGTGCAGATATGTCGTCTGTTGTTGATAGTGCAGTAGAACGGCCGAAGTTATCCCGGAGGTTTTGCATTCGCCCCAGTTTGAAAAGTTATAATAGGTATTATAGTGCTAGTGACCTATTTAACATGTAAGCTACCGCAATAGTACAGCGTTTTTCATTCATATGGACCAGCGACGCACATATGTGACGGCTAGTCATTAAAATTAGATATATATATATATTTTATATGTAATATATATATATATATATTTTACACGTATATATATATATATTTTACAATATTCTGCGGCCGAATATTCTGCCCAAGTTGTAGTTCTTTTATGTTTAGGTTTAGCTATGCTATGGCTCATAGACAAGTCATTACGACTAACTGTCTCTTTGTTATAGTGACAAGGAGGGGCATTGCACCATAATTTCACACCATCACCATCACAATCTTATATATATTTAAACAATTTGGTTTATTCTTTTCCGAGTTTGTTTGGCTCTTCTACCCGACTGATTTTCATGATTGAGGTCTCAAATTGCAGGCATGCACGCACAGACTCGGTGTATCCATTAACGAAATTTCAATTTATGATGTACCTTCAACAGTTATAATTATATAATCCTATATGTTTAGTCTAAAAACGCAAGGTGAGTTAACCAAAATAAAAATTATTTTTTGTTTGAATCAGTTAGCTCAAGATACTGTATTACTCAATAAAAAATCATAAATTTGATTATTCCTTGGATATTATATTTATTTTAATGCTGCGGAGCAGCATAGGTCCTTTAGTTTACTATTAACTAGAACTATTAACTGGTCCCGGGTCCAGGTCTTACCATGAGACCTACAGTAATAGCTTATTCCCTATATGGGAAATTCGCTAAAACAAAAGGGTATCACATTGTTTTGCCTTGGTAATAAGTGCTGAACCCTATTAAAATGTGCAATTTGTGCACGAAACTCCTCGTGTTCAAACCTATACTTCACTAACTTTGAAAATTTTCAGGAAACTTTGGATGCGTTAAAAGAACTCTCTGTGTTTTTTACTGAAAATACTATACAAACTCGAAGAAGCCTAAGGAGTAAAATAGAGAAAAGAAGTCTAAGTATCAATGAGGTAAACATAATTTATTATCTGATAATCTGTTAGGCCGGGGCCACACGTGGCGGATCGTCCGCGCGGCTTATGATCGTACGATCATAAGCCGCGCGACGATGTCCCGGCCACACGAAGCGGATGAACCGCTTCTGTTTGAGGTTTCCCAGCCTACGTACTGAGATTCTAACATGGTTTAATTCACTCGTTCTCGTTGTAGTCATGGAAGAAACACGTATGTTGGTTTGTGCATTAGAAGCGTGTGGTGAGCTAGAGCCTAAGGCAAACCAAAATCATTGGGTCCATCATTTCATAACCGATAAACCATTTGTGTTCCAAACCTTTTACGAGCACATGCGAAACCATAGATCGGAGTTTCTTTTGTTACTATCGCATGTAGATAGCATCGTTTGACGAGCTACTTCAATTGTTTTGACCGCATATAACTAAGGAAGATATACTGATGAGAAATGTACAACATGAGAAATCCCACATTATCTTTAACAAGTTCTATTGATTTGTCTGTATCGAACATTTTAGAAACCGAAATGCACAAGCACAAACTAAAAAAAAACCACTACAAATGCTTGAAAATGAGCTCCAACCGCGCGGACAATCCGTATCGTGTGGCCACTCTCATAAGACTACGTGTGTCATCCCCTCCAACGGGGCTTATGATCGCGCGGACAATCCACGACATGGCGCGGACAATCCGCCCAGGCGGCTTAGGATCGCCCCGTGTGGCCACTCTCATTTGATTCAATGTGTTGTCGGACCACGCGGATGATCCGCGTGGTCCGTCCGCGCGGATGATCCGCGTCGTGTGGCCCCGGCCTTACAGTTGTATAATTTTGCTATGGAAAGCTTATGTTGCTTACCTTGAGCAACATCATTATTCATTCAAAATAAATTAAGGAGAACATTAGCAAATAAATTTGTCTGCCACTGGTAACCCAATGAACTGAAAGTACTAGTGGTCTTACAATTGGCCTCTAGGCCCTCAACTTCATAGTCTTGTTTGTCAGAGGATCACAAAATTAAAAACATAAACTGTTCCATAATTTTACTTTCTTCAGGTAATTTTGTATGCCAAGGGGCGGATCAAGATAGGTTTTTGTTGTCCATTATTTCCACTCACCATCTGTAAGCTCGAAAAATACCATTATATGTGCATTTTCCATCTTTTTCTACTACCAATCTAGATATTAAATTCTCACCTTTACCACTTATATTTCAGGAGTTGGACCGCTTTCTTAAAAGTGTTCGAATTTCTTTCAGGTAAAATGACACTGGCAAAGAAAAACACATACCTTTTTGGTCTTTGTTTGATGAAATATAAATCTCCTGGAATTGTCAGGCATTTGTTTGCCATTACCATTGAACTTTCAAAAAGACAAAATAGTGGCTGCTTACGAAATTTGTTCTTTTGTAACAACCAGTTTCCATTGCATATTTTCCCTGTGGTTAATCTTTCAGCAGCACAGAAGCGCTGCCCATTTCTGCTTTTATTTATATATACTTTGAGTTATGGGGATGCTCTCATATTTAAAATAATGCATAAGTCATAATAGAAGAAGCAGAGGGTCGCTCATGGCATGCAGGTGGGTGGTGGGAGGTACATGGGGGCTCAAGCCAGGGCTCATGCACTGGCTGTTTGTCTCTGTGGTAAGGCCTGCCATGACATACAGCTCACATATTGTGTGGGGGGCCAAGATGGACTCAGTGACAGCCTTACACTCAAAACAAAGTACCTCTCTTATCACAAGAGTTCAATATCACTAAGAATGAACAACATGAACCCTGATAGCTGCACAGTTAAAATTGTTTATTATTTATCTAAATATGGCCAAACATAAGTTGAAAACAGTTGTAAGTTCATTAAAATGACATGCTTTCTGATTTGTATCTGTTCAGGACTTTTTATCAGCATTTAGAAAAGTCAAAGAGGCTCTTGACAATATCTATCTTGATGTCACTGATATGAATAAAGCGGTAGAAACAATGACGGCCCAGCTACAGGCCACCAAAGCTCAGACACACCAGCTCATAGAGCACACCACTAAACTTCAGGCTGAGGGGTAACAATACTGTATTACGTTTCTTATAAAACTATAGTCCATCAGCTATTTGGTCTTTGTGTTTTTTTTGTGTAAAGTCTTTCTTTAAAGAAAGCACTTGTGTTTGTATTATTTCTTCACGTAAGAAAAGTGCTCATTCATAACGTTTCTCATTGACAATAACGTCAAGCTAGCTACATAGCTAGCTTTACTAGCTGTAGTGGCTTCCCATGGCCACAAAATCAAGTGTAAGTTAACTAAGAGCTAGGCTAGATAGTAGTAGTCTGTTGAATATGAGAGTCTCATGTGTGAGCAGTTATTCACTTATTTTTAACTATGCTGCTTCAATGAAATGGAACAATTTCTTTTGGCTCTTGTTTATACCCATGTGATGGTTAAAAACACCTGTTGTATTGTTGAATGATCCTGTTTTCTCAAAATTACCAAGAATAATTCCTCTTCATCGTTTGTAATGTGAAGAGCTGTAACATATATGACAAAAATATAATCAATATAAATATGAATACCTAAACAAAAACAAAATCATAGCGACCTGAAAATAAAAAGTGCTGCCCTGTGGTGTTGCCACCAGGTGTTGTTACCTGACAAAAACTGGATCAATTGACATTCAGGACGATTTAAACATTTCATTGAAATGTACTTGCAACAACGACTCACAATCCTCATCACATTAAATGGTGATATAAGAGAGAAGTTAACCAACTATAGAAATATAATAATGATTTATGATTTATCCTAGCCAAAAACTGACAATGCAGCAAGAGGTGGCTCAATCATTTTTGAAGAGTTTCCAACTGACACCTGCCGAGTTGTCAGCCCTGCGAGAGGCCAACATTACTGAAGAGTTTTTTGCCGCATTGGACAGAGTTCAAACAATCCATGCCAATTGTCGCACACTGATGCAGTCAGGACATCAAACATCAGCTTTGGACATCATGGATCAAATGGCTATGTATCAGGTTGGATAAAAAATATCAATTTTTACTTTGTATACGCACAGAGAAGAAAGTTATAGAGGATACATGCTTATGGGACCACTGTGTGCTTTCAGCTCTGGTATGTTAGGCTGAAATATATACTTGCGGAGGGAGAGCCTGAACAGCAAGCACTTTGCGGAAATTCCCATCGCACAGGGCACAGTCTTCCTCCACCATGAGCGTTTTAGTACATGAGTGCGAGGGAGCAGAGGGGGTCATTGCCCTAGACAGCAGCACTGATGCTCCTCTTGAGTGTACCATTGAATTTTTCCTCTATATATTACTTTTCTGTGGTATACGTTATTCATAGACTTCTCATCGTCTTGTATTTGAAATCTTAAGCTTGTTTTGATGCGTGTTTCATGTATTGTAACATCAGAGACTTAATAATAATGTTTTTTTGTAATTTTTTTAGAGTAGGCTAAATGGTTCAGTGTATATAATTCTCAATTATTTTGTTATAATACTAGAGGACAAGCAGTATTTAAAAGTAGTGTGTGGCAAAACCTGGTAATATTTGTGTAGGAGGCGAGGATATGCCAGGTGTGTTTCAAAGGTGTGATGGAAATCTTAGATATTTATTAATAGCAATAAACATGAAGGAGTGGTAGGTGAAGCTTGATGCGTTTTTCAAAAGTGAAGATTCTTGTGTAGCTGTGCAGAGACATAATCTGTAAGTGTTTTAATTTGGGTGCTTGAGGAATGTTCTCCTCTCACAACACAATTATGCTCTGATAAATACAAGGGCTAATCAGAATGTAAGGAAAGTTTTGCAATAAAGTTTCTATAAGAAAAAACTAATTGTGTATACATATGAAAGAACAACTAAAATACCACTTTCTACATAGTCACAAAGGTGGACGAGCATTGAAATTACCTTGTCGTAGAACTTTGCCGCCTGTGAGCTCCTTCACCCAGTGGCAAGTAATTGGAGCTCCTTGCTGTCATCATAGCGCTGGGCTTATAACCAAATAACTTATTAATTTTTGAAACAAGTGAAAGTCACTAAAAGCAAGGTTTGGACTGAAAATCCAGAGAAAATCTATTTGAATGAATGAAGGAGATCTTGTGTGTGATTTGTCGGTTGACTATGGTTATTGTAATGAAAACCCAAAATTTGGTACTTCAACTTTATTTTGGCCATTTTGAAACCGAATGCACAATTTTAGGACAGAACTTTAATTTATTACGTTGTACTATATAAACTTCAACATAAACAAACTTGTACTATGTTATTACGTTGTTCAGTACACTCCAACTTGACAACAAATTTCTATTATTAAGTTTATGACAAAAAAAATTATAACAGACCGCACCTCACAACTAGTGTGATTTACCATTGGAATACACTTATAAAACCTGTATTGCCACAACAGGCAGCACAACGGGACTTCCGCTGTAATGGCTGCATAGTCGTTGAAGAGGGGAATACGACTGTTGCGAGATCAACATGCACCCTTTGGCGTCAGACAGAAACATGCCTTACTTCCTGAATATCTTTTGTAATTCCATTTCTACTATAGCCTGGTTTACAATAAAAAAGTAGAAAGACAATAACAAACAGGAATGAAACTGTTCTAACACCACAAGTTAAATGATTGACTGTTGCCAACCAGTCGTGTGATGTGATAACCAATATATGATAATGTCAGATTTTGTATTAAAAAAGTATTGGTAAGTTGTTCTTAGAAAATCTAATTGATTTTTAGTGGCCTTTCTCAAATTCTTATTTGTCTCGGTCGGTTTATGTAGGAGACGGCTTTGGAGAGACTGTACCGCTGGGCCCAGACACATTGTCGTAACATCGAGGCTCCAGGAATCAACCAACTGCTGAATCAGGCCATGGCCAAACTCCAGGACCGACCTGTGCTATTCAAGTGAGTTCTATATTCTATTTTGGTTAGTCTATACCTATACCTAGTCCACCTACTAGGAGAGTGAATTCCATTAGGTATGTCTAACTGAGAGATGGAGATAGGCCTAGAGATATTTTAACAATGCCAGCGACATATCATGGTTTGTATTTTAAGGTGAAGAATAATCAACAATGAGTGTTGAATGGATGGATAGGTCAGCATTGTTACTGGCTGGTTCTTCAGCTAGAATCGTTTATGAAAAGCCAGTTCAAGGACAGCTGGGTCGAGATCTTGACTGATCTCGGTATCAAACTGGGAACTTACTGATTTCTAGGTGAGCACTGTATCCACTCAGCTACCGAGCTATAAACAATAGCTAACGAAATAATAATGTAAACATTACTAATTTAAATTATTGATTATCTGAGTGTACTGTATTTTGAGTTATCAAAAGACAAACAATTGTGATTTTGTCCCACGTTAATCAGCCTGCATGATGTGTTGGAAGTGGAAAAATATCCGGTCCTTGTACATTTATCAGCTGATACTTAATGTGATGTGTTAGGTATGTGCTGACAGAGTACTGCACATGTAGAAGAGCTGTCCTCGTACATTTGTTCATTGATGCCCTGACCAAGGGAGGACCCGGTGGAACGCCCAAGCCCATCGAGGCACACGCTCATGACGCCAAGCGCTACGTGGGCGACATGCTGGCCTGGCTACATCAGGCTATACCAGGCGAGAGAGACAACTTACTGACTCTGCTGAAAAACTGTGACACCAAGACTGGTTAGTGAGTTATTTACTCTCATATTCTTCTTGGGAATCAGGTTAATTTCTTATGTTACTAATAAGTTTAGCATAGCCTATTGAACTATTAGGGATTAAAGCATGTTTTATATTGTGACCAATAATAAAGCATTATTATCCTTAGCAATCATAAATTTGGTGTAATGTGCATCCATCTCGATGTATCCATCACAATGATTACATCACAGATTCACAGATGATTAATTTTCATAATCACGTACCATCAATAAAGTATCTGGCCATTGCAAATACACTATTATCGTCCGTCACAATCAAGGCAAAGTTGCGAATGTTCGAAGGTAGGTTGTGCAATCTTAGAAGTCGATTTCAGTGATTCCAAAAATATATTAGTAGAATTGGCTCAGCTCAATATTCCACATTTTAGGCTAGGCTTGGCTCAGCTCAGAAATCAGCAGACCTCTATGACTTTGTATTACTATCAGTTTCACCTCAAAACTTTTACAAAAACATGAATGTTGAAAGCCTAGTTCATGGAATTTATGGGCAGCAATTTCATATCCCAGAGTGTTTGCCATTACGGTTCCTTTACTGTTAAAAATGACAAAAAAGGTTTCCCATTTCTCCAAATATAACAACATAGTATAATGTATCATTTTTGCAGATGTCAGTGAGGAAGTACAGCAAGCTTTGTCTAACATATCTGAGGGTGTCTGTCATCCCCTGCAAGTAAGAGTAGATCAGATCCTTGCTACAGATACATCTGTTGTATCCTTATATCATGTATCCAATTTGCTGCGGTTTTATTTGCAGACGTTCAACCAGGTAAATACATTAGACATCAATTGTAAGATATATTTTCAATACGGTATGACTTGAATTGAATTTTTTACCTTTAATCAAGGGGTTTTTGGACGATGAACTAAATACAAACCCCCATGGCCCATGTATTATGAAAACAGCTTTTTAGCAAATTTTCCATATAGGGAATAAGCTATTACTGTAGGTTTTATGGTAAGACCTGGACCCAGGACCAATTTACTTTTTTTTTTTTTTGAGGTCCCCGGAAGCTAAAGTCACCATCCATTCAAATTCATAAATAATATATATCTATATATGTCTCTCTAAGCAAGATAACTCAAGCAAAAATGATCAGATTTTGATGAAATTTGGTATAAACGTGTAAACCTACATTTATTCGAATGAGTTTGCGAACCAGCATAATTGGACTATGGGAACAGTGGTTTAATGGGGTAAAAATGGGGTTAACGAAAAACTAATGTTTCCCATAATGCGCAGAAGGAAAACTTGTGTTCAGAAAGGAAATAAAAATATTCTCCTTTCCTGATCTAAACTATAAGTACAATGCCGTGCCGTCCATCACTAGGAATTTATGACTCAGTTTTGATGTTGAGCCCTATATAAAGTGTTGGAACCATTATATGCAAATGCCATTATTTCATTTTCAAGGTGGTACCTGGGAGCAGCCTGGATGCAACACTCTCCGAGCTCCACTCAAACAGTGAGAAGGCTTTCTTGTCCACACTTCAATCTCAGGTAGTGAATAAATACTAGTCAAACTCAAATAAGACAACAAGACAGTAATAATTATGAAAAGTTTGCAAGCCTAAAAGATGAGGATGTCTTCTAATTTATGTAACAAAAACATTTTTCATTCACATGTATAATTTTGTAATCCCACTTACTAAGTTTCAACTGAGCGCCGCTTTAACTGGTTTATCTTGTCAGAAATGGGAATAACTTCTCACTGACTACTTATGAATGCTTTAACAGGTCTGTTTTGCCAAATGGAGTGACAACAAACACTTTTGATCGATGCTTTGAAATCTAAGTCATAACATAGACCACGTTAGTTAACAGTGTTTAGCATATAAACAATCGTTTATTTAACAAGGATTATTATATTGGCTTAACCAGCCAAATTGTTATCCAGCTGCTATCTCAGTCACGGTATTTTGAAAGTAGTCTGAATTTATGATTGCTGGAGTAGTGAAATTTTCTTGGAAACTTACAAAGCAAAATGTTTAGAATGAACTATTGCAACTTAAACCACTTCATATTTTGTCATTATGTAAAATTATTTAAATGTGTAGTTGATGAGTGTGATAAAACTTTAAATAAGTAAAATAATAAACCTCATCATTGCAGGTTAAGCAGCAACTCCTTGAGAAGGTGGACGCTCCTCCCCCTGACTTGTCACCTTCTCCTGGTATTCCACCACTGCTCACACTCCTCAAGGAGATCATCTCCATCGCCAGTGTAGCGGAAGGAAGACAAGATGATATAAACAAGGTAAGAGTGTCAGTCTTCTCCAGACGTTATGTTTACTACTTACAATTTCAAATATCTCTAATGGTTTCCAACCATCATGTCAAAGTAGTATGTTTACAGCGCTGCTGTTGTCAGTAAGGGGAACCTAGGAGTCTTGTAGGATGGGGTTGAGAGTTTACAGTGTTGCTGTTGTCGGTAAGGGGAACCTAGATGTCGTATAGTACGGGGTGGTGAGTTTACAGTGTTGCTGTTGTCAGTAAGGGGAACTTAGATGTCTTGTAGGATGGGGTAGAGAGTTTACAGAGCTGCTATTGTCAGTAAAGGGAATGTGGATGTCTTGTAGGGCTGCTACTGACGGGACAGTCTACTTTAACCTTTGCTAATTTTCAGGTAGTTTCTTGTGTGATGGACCCACTGCTACAAGCCATCACACTGAGTACCTCAAAGCTTGCAGCTACTGTCATGACAGTCTACTTTAACCTTTGCTAATTTTCAGGTAGTTTCTTGTGTGATGGACACACTGCTCCAAGCCATCACACTGAGTACCTCAAGGCTTGCAGCTACTGTCATGACAGTCTACTTTAACCTTTGCTAATTTTCAGGTAGTTTCTTGTGTGATGGACCCACTGCTACAAGCCATCACACTGAGTACCTCAAGGCTTGCAGCTACTGTCATGACAGTCTACTTTAACCTTTGCTAATTTTCAGGTAGTTTCTTGTGGGATGGACCCACTACTCCAAGCCATCACACTGAGTGCCTCAAGTCTTGCAGCTACTGTCATGACAGTCTACTTTATCCTTTGCTAATTTTCAGGTAGTTTCTTGTGTGATGGACACACTGCTCCAAGCCATCACACTGAGTACCTCAAGGCTTGCAGCTACTGTCATGACAGTCTACTTTAACCTTTGCTAATTTTCAGGTAGTTTCTTGTGTGATGGACCCACTACTCCAAGCCATCACACTGAGTGCCTCAAGTCTTGCAGGTACTGTCATGACAATGACAGTCTACTATATCCTTGCTAATTTTCAGGTAGTTTCTTGTGTGATGGACACACTGCTCCAAGCCATCACACTGAGTACCTCAAGTCTTGCAGGTACTGTCATGACAATGACAGTCTACTATATCCTTGCTAATTTTCAGGTAGTTTCTTGTGTGATGGACACACTGCTCCAAGCCATCACACTGAGTACCTCAAGGCTTGCAGCTACTGTCATGACAGTCTACTTTAACCTTTGCTAATTTTCAGGTAGTTTCTTGTGTGATGGACCCACTACTCCAAGCCATCACACTGAGTGCCTCAAGTCTTGCAGGTACTGTCATGACAATGACAGTCTACTATATCCTTGCTAATTTTCAGGTAGTTTCTTGTGTGATGGACACACTGCTCCAAGCCATCACACTGAGTACCTCAAGGCTTGCAGCTACTGTCATGACAGTCTACTTTAACCTTTGCTAATTTTCAGGTAGTTTCTTGTGTGATGGACCCACTACTCCAAGCCATCACACTGAGTACCTCAAGGCTTGCAGCTACTGTCATGACAGTCTACTTTATCCTTTGCTAATTTTCAGGTAGTTTCTTGTGTGATGGACACACTGCTCCAAGCCATCACACTGAGTGCCTCAAGTCTTGCAGCTACTGTCATGACAGTCTACTTTATCCTTTGCTAATTTTCAGGTAGTTTCTTGTGTGATGGACACACTGCTCCAAGCCATCACACTGAGTGCCTCAAGTCTTGCAGCTACTGTCATGACAGTCTACTTTAACCTTTGCTAATTTTCAGGTAGTTTCTTGTGGGATGGACCCACTACTCCAAGCCATCACACTGAGTGCCTCAAGTCTTGCAGGTACTGTCATGACAATGACAGTCTACTATATCCTTGCTAATTGTCAGGTAGTTTCTTGTGTGATGGACACACTGCTCCAAGCCATCACACTGAGTACCTCAAGGCTTGCAGCTACTGTCATGACAGTCTACTTTAACCTTTGCTAATTTTCAGGTAGTTTCTTGTGTGATGGACCCACTGCTACAAGCCATCACACTGAGTACCTCAAGGCTTGCAGCTACTGTCATGACAGTCTACTTTAACCTTTGCTAATTTTCAGGTACTTTCTTGTGGGATGGACCCACTACTCCAAGCCATCACACTGAGTGCCTCAAGTCTTGCAGCTACTGTCATGACAGTCTACTTTATCCTTTGCTAATTTTCAGGTAGTTTCTTGTGTGATGGACCCACTGCTACAAGCCATCACACTGAGTACCTCAAGGCTTGCAGCTACTGTCATGACAGTCTACTTTAACCTTTGCTAATTTTCAGGTAGTTTCTTGTGTGATGGACCCACTACTCCAAGCCATCACACTGAGTGCCTCAAGTCTTGCAGGTACTGTCATGACAATGACAGTCTACTATATCCTTGCTAATTGTCAGGTAGTTTCTTGTGTGATGGACACACTGCTCCAAGCCATCACACTGAGTGCCTCAAGTCTTGCAGCTACTGTCATGACAGTCTACTTTAACCTTTGCTAATTTTCAGGTAGTTTCTTGTGTGATGGACCCACTGCTACAAGCCATCACACTGAGTGCCTCAAGTCTTGCAGCTACTGTCATGACAGTCTACTTTAACCTTTGCTAATTTTCAGGTAGTTTCTTGTGTGATGGACCCACTGCACCAAGCCATCACACTGAGGGCCTCAAGGCTTGCAGCTACTGTCATGACAGTCTACTTTAACCTTTGCTAATTTTCAGGTAGTTTCTTGTGTGATGGACCCACTACTCCAAGCCATCACACTGAGTGCCTCAAGTCTTGCAGCTACTGTCATGACAGTCTACTTTATCCTTTGCTAATTTTCAGGTAGTTTCTTGTGTGATGGACCCACTACTCCAAGCCATCACACTGAGTGCCTCAAGTCTTGCAGCTACTGTCATGACAGTCTACTTTATCCTTTGCTAATTTTCAGGTAGTTTCTTGTGTGATGGACCCACTGCTCCAAGCCATCACACTGAGTGCCTCAAGTCTTGCAGCTACTGTCATGACAGTCTACTTTATCCTTTGCTAATTTTCAGGTAGTTTCTTGTGTGATGGACCCACTACTCCAAGCCATCACACTGAGTGCCTCAAGGCTTGCAGCTACTGACATGACAGTCTACTTTAACCTTTGCTAATTTTCAGGTAGTTTCTTGTGTGATGGACCCACTGCTCCAAGCCATCACACTGAGTGCCTCAAGTCTTGCAGCTACTGTCATGACAGTCTACTTTATCCTTTGCTAATTTTCAGGTAGTTTCTTGTGTGATGGACCCACTGCTCCAAGCCATCACACTGAGTGCCTCAAGGCTTGCAGCTACTGACATGGCTGTCTACCTTCTTAATTGCCTACACCTCATGACTACTACTCTGGCACTTTATGAGTTTATGGATGAAAGGCTTGAACGACTTAAGGTAATGTTAAGAGTCCTTGGAGGCTAGCGGCCATCTTCGACAATTTCAAACAGCTGCTGAAGACATAGACATAGACATAGACATAACCTAACAGTGGTGAATTATAACCTGAGAAGAGTGAATTATAATCCAAGAAGTTTTTCAAACACCAAAGTGATTATAATTTTAATATCTAATCTAGTATACTATGAGATTTGACGTATTCGTTGTTGTTTCGGATTGATTTCCAAGGGAGTCTATGGAAGCCAATAGCCAACTTGAATTTGCTCGCCATAAGAGAAATGTTAATTTTTGTTTTTTCAAACAGCCGCTGAAGAGTTATTTATTCACCATCTCAAAATATTTTTTCAGATACCAAAGTGATTGTAATTTGAATATATCGTATACTGTGGGATTAGAAATGTTCTTTGTAATTTTTTAATTGTTTTATGAGTTAGAACGTCTAGGCTCCAAGGACTCTTAAGCCAAACAATAAGAAAATAAATATTAATAGGAATTTTAATAATGCTCTCCTCGCTAAATTGAAGCACTTGAAGTGTCAGTATACTGCACATACATTGGAGTGTGAAGGCCGGTAGTGAACCTAACAATGTAAAAGTTTCAAATGAAATAATATTTATGGGAAATCATTAGTAATAATTTATCTATTATTACACTTTTTTGCTGTTTTGTTTACCAATAATGCATGTGTTACTTTCATAATTGTTTCTACAATGTAGATTGATGAATTTGTAACAACGCTCAAGACAAATCAAGTAGTATTGTACCTCCTTAGACTTCTCCTTGTGGCCAATTATATAATATTAGATGTGTAACCAGGCCACTTGTGCCAGTGGTATTTAATGCCAAGTGGTATTTGATGTAGGCGCAGTCTGATGCTCAGCTAGACACCTTGACCTCAGAACAGGCTTCCTCTCTAGTGGCCAACCTCAACCTGGGACCCATCTACACAATCCTCCAGGAGCAAGGCAAGGGACCTTTGTCACAGGTGCCTGGCATGGAGCCGGCAAACCTCAACAACTTCCTGGTAAACCAAAACTCCTCTAATAGATTTCTAATTGATATTGAGTTGTGACAGTCAAAACTTCATTTTTAATTAATTCCTGGCTGATATTAATTTTAGCCATATTTAGACTTAAGGTTTATTTGAGGTTTACTTACATGTATTTTCACATAAATCGAGGTTTTTCCTCTGTCATCAAATCAGTGAAGAATCATCACTAACCATGTTGAATTGTTGACGAATATTAGGATTTTATTAAGAAGGTAAAAATATATTAGGTGTTTTAAAAGTACAAAAGTTTGAAATAGAATTTACTGTTTGAAAAAAAATAACCGTTGAAACTACTTTTTAGTTTCAAAATGGCGGCTGTTTTAATTTTTATGGCCAACCATTTTAAGTTGTAAAATAAGGCAAAACTGTCAGAGTGCACCTCAGACTGGCTTTTGCAACTAAAAATCGAGATAAAAAGCTATATTTTGTTTGATCTTTTCAAAAAAAAAAACTATGTTATGTTTTGTTAGAAAATGTAAATTCAAAGCAAAATAAATTAATGTATCTTGATTTTTTTCCATAAAACCAAGAGTCTTCAGAAATAAAAGTCATGAAAATAAAAGTAATTAAAGCTATTAAAGTAATTAAGTAAAATAAAAAAAGTGGTAAAAATGGTTGCCATTTTGAAACAAACAAAGTTTTATGATTATATTTTTGCAAATAGTCGATTCTACAAATCTTATGAAATGTTGTAATTATAACAATTGTAATGTTACGTACAATAGTTAGATGTAGGTGAATAATTAACTTCACTTAAAAGAAGAAGAATAGTTGTGATAAATTAATATTTTTATCATTGGCTTTATTTATTTTTTTATTTTGAGATATGTGTGTTAGTCTTCTTTTACAATCAGTTTTACCCCATTTTCTAAAATATTGACCCTCTCGTCTAACTTTCTGTAGATGGTTACATGTAAAAAATGTGTTCAGCGTACTCAACACAGAAAGTAATTGTGTTTGTGTGTTTAGGGTAAGCTCGAGAGTCTGCTGAATGTACCAGACATGTTCAGTTTGCCTCAGATGGAATGTTTGCTCAGTAACGCTCATCGCTCGGTTGTTCAGCGTCGAGCAACCCAAGTCATCACAGCCATCTACACTCAGCTGTACAATGCAGTTCACAATCCGGACAATCTGTACGCCAACCCTTCCCAGCTCATGTCTCGCACCCCTGAGCAAGTGACGGCTACTCTACTCGGCTCATAGCATAAAAAGATTGTCACTGTTATATAAGTTATTTGCGAGTTATCAAGAGCCCTAAAATTTTTCCAATGCAAATGAAGGTGATGTAAAGGAGAAATTGTGAATGAATTTGTCAAATATAATACATCAACGCAAAAACAAAATTGAACGATGCAGCGGCAGCCCATCTGTTGCACATGAAAAAAGGTGGTAAAATAACACTCAACATTGTTGTTCCCATCAATATGCATCCTCGTCGATACTCCTACCTCACTTGCATAGAAGAAATGTTAAAAGTGGCCCTCTTGAAAAGACCAATTTTTAACTCTAGTTCATTTTTGTTGAAGGCGAGATTATGTAATTGAACAGACCATTTCAGACATTTATTTTCCATCAAAATTAGTAAAAACTAAGTTTTCACTTATAGCTTTAGCATCTGGAATCTGATCCTGTCCTGCATAGAGACGATTGTTGTATAGCAAGACAAAACAAAAAATATAAGATCCTGAGATGAAACCATAACAAGATGGCAGCTCAAGCAAGACACAAGGTTTAGCTAGGTTTGTGCACTAATCTTGTCATGTTATAGGGACTTTCTCATCCGAGGACAGTGATTAGTTTCCAGATCCTGAACAACTGTTGTAAACTTACTAACAATGATATAAACTGTTGTGTTGTTTTTACATTAGGCTAGTTAAATAAATTTTGAAATATTTTGATAAAGTTTGTTTTTCAAGAAAAAAAACATTTAAGCTTCATCTTTATGCGTAGGCTTTCGCGGCTGGTGTCATTGAAGTCCATGGTGATGGTTTTCGGCGTCAACCGCGTTGTCAGTTGTATTTATTTTTTGAAATGCAACTGACGACGTGGTTGATTCCGAAAACCATAACCATGGATTTCAATTTAAGCTTCATGTTACATTAAGTAAAAAGAAATGGATACACATCTAATTCGCATAAGAAAAAAGTTCCAGACAGTTTATAGCATTGAAGAAGTTTTCAAGACAATTAGATTCATAATTCACCCACTTGGAGTGAGTGAATATCTATTTCATTGTGCTGCAAACTTTTTGTCAGCTACTAACTGCCTGGGCCTAGGGCTAGGTGAGTCAGTAGTGTATCCAGTCCTTCTTCATCAATGTGTAAGAATTGTATTTGCTTGTTGAATGTTTGATTGAAATAATATCCATATTCAATCTGTAGTTATATACAGTTGTTGCCACGGGCAGCCATCAATATGGAGCCCCCTCCCAATTATTATACCTCACCAACAATCAATGTTAAATAATAAAAAATAAGGAAGAGGCAAGAGATAGAGATGAGTGGAGGTGTTTTGTTGGGGAGGCCAAATACCACTTGGAGTACCATAGGCCACTGCAGTAAGTAGGCCAGTTAGTAAATTTTAAAATGTTTGGAAAAAACAATAGATTGACAAAGGAAATTTAGGTAGGCTACAAAAATATATGCACATGGAATCTACAAATTTGTACCTACATTTTATCTGTGGTAGGACCTCTAGACACCCTTTTTATTGGGGTTATTCTGTACCCTCAGACCCTTGGCTTAGAAAAATTAGATGGACGCCCATGGTTGTTGTTCTAAAATTTTGTAAATAGGCTATAATAAATATATTTTGGTTACTCATATTTTGTGGTTTCATTTATTTTCACAGCAGAACATTAAATTACTCTTGGTTGTCATTTATTAAATTACTCCCTTGTCCATTTTAGGGAACAGATTCAGTCAATATTTAGGTATTTTTTCATCCAGTTTTACTTTTAAACTTTAAAAACTTAACTTAAACAGTTCTTGAACTATATTTTTTTAACGATTAATTTAATTTAGTTTTTGATTTGTTTTCTAACATTCCTTAAGAGACTAGCAATTAGACCATTATTTCTTAGAAACCATTTAAAGCATGAGCATTGTAGCTCGATTAGATAGCAATGGCCCAAACCCATGATTCTTTGTCACTAAAATATAAAGATGACTGAAATTTATGATAAAACCAGCAAAACAACCACATTTAAAAAAAAAATCATTACACAAGTAATAATAGGTGTTAATAAGTGTTCATTTTTAACAAGTTTGTTAAAAAACGTGTTACTTGTTAGCCTTTGTAAAATAATAACATTTCTCATTATAATATAACTCTCAACAGTAACATTATTTTATGAAGGATTTTTTTTTACAATCATAACAGAAAAATACCCCCGCCGCAGCAAACCTGCAGACTAAGCGAATTTCCATTTGACTGATTGGATTTACACTGAAATGTCTACTTAAAAATATAACATTTATTCTTGATTTAAATAGAATTAGTTTAACAAGTACTTAGGTTTGCTGCATCAGGGAGGGTAAAACTGTTTTTTTTTTTAATGTGAATAGTTTCGTAAGAAATAAAAACATTTTCCAAATTTGATCAAAATATGTTCACAAACAAGCAAACTACAACAGTTTACTTATTCTCCATAAGAATAACATGGGAATTTTAAATTTAAATTTTTTGGAATTTTCTCCGTAACAATTAGGCGCATAATAACGCTTCAATATACTAAGTTATTTGTTTTTTTAAGCTCTACAAAATGGTTTGGAAAGAAATTGTTAAATTTTTTGTTTTTTGGGTCAAAAATGGGAAAAAACCTATTTTTACCCCATAAAACCCCCCGTAAACCCCCGTTCCCATGGTCCGATCATGCTGGATCGCGAACTCGTTCGAATAAACGTACGTTTACACGTTTGTACCAAATTTCATCAAAATCGGATCATTTTTGCTCGAGTTATCGTGCTGACGGACACATATATATATATATATATATATGAATTTGAACGGATGGTGTTTTTGGCCTCTAGGGACCTCAAAACGAAAAAAGAAATCGGTCCCGCGTCCAGGTCTTACCATGAGTACTACGGTAATAGCTTATTCCCTATATGGGAAATTCGCTAAAACGTACTTGACTCAGATGATTTAATTTTCTTAAGTGTTAAAGAAACAAATCAATAAACTAAAATTTGGTTTTCATTGGCTGATAAGTTTCATATTATTTATGATTTTTTTTATATATCAATATTTTATTTTTCGACCCAATATATTGATATTAACGAATTGAAACATATCAGCTGACATGACAACTAGGATAAATAAATATTGTTCAATATCAACAAACAATTAAAATAACAAATATTTTAATGAAACTGTTCTAAACTAACCTAACAAAACTAACCAAACTTGGTGTAACGTTTCAAAATTCCATTTGATATTTCCCACATGCCTTTTCTGTAATCAAGCAGAATTTTGAAATGGTTGACCTACAGCAAGTTTGGTTAGTTATGTTAGGTTAGTTTAAAACCGTTTCATTTCTTAATTCAAATCCATATATTATTTTTGTCTAAACAAGCAGTTGTTAATTTGCAATCTAAATGCATTTGAAGATATTAAGTGATTAAAATCTAAAACAGAAGAAGGAATGTGGATTGTAAAGGAAAACAAAAATATCGATACATAAAAAAAATCATCGATAATAATGAATGTTCCCTCTAACTGGAAAGTACTATTCAACAAACTAAAACAAAAAACTCATATTAATTAGGTTAAAACTTAATTATTATTATCATGGTTGATTTTTGTATGGAATTTTTTCTTTGTCCTTTTCCCTTCTGAATCCCAGCTTTTGGTTTTCTCAGGTAGCGGATAACGAGCTTGCTTATGATTCCCTAAAAGAATTACATTTTAAAGTAGGATCCACAAATAACCCTTCTAAACATTTTATGTGGTTTATTATAAATTGTAAATAAAAACATAAATAATAAACACATCAATCTAGGTAAGTGATTAATAATTTAAATAAACTTTCAGATGTTCACTTTTTTGTAGTAGGCCTAAATATACAAGATATTGTTATGAGTAATTTGCCATTGTAAATTAAAAATAATTGAAGATATAACTTAAATGTGTCAGTTCAGAAAATGTGCATAAAGATTAAGAGGAGTCTAGATCAAGAGATGGCTGGATAGTTGACAAAGTACTCTGTCTGCAAAGGACAATGGTAAATCTTTAGCTACGCCAAACTGCAAGCAAACTGATGGACACCTGTTGCTAATTTTGAGGTCTATATATTTATATATGGCCTCTATAAACTCCCCAAGCTACTTTAGAACAATTTTTCTAACACTTTTCTTAATGCACAACTGTCAACAGATTCCTGTTGGGATTGAAGGATTTACCTCCTTCCACAGAAACTCGCTAACAGAATGTGATTCATACTTAGCTGAAGCTTTTGCACACATCATTACTTGACAACTACAACAGAGTAAAAAGTGTCCAAGTTACTCTTTAATGTGTGCCACTATGTTCAAACTGACCATCTGAATGGGAAATGGGAGACATAAATTTAAGGACAACCCCTGTAGACCAGTACAATTCCTAACTTTACTTGGGTATTTAGCATGAGTGGAAATGTCAGTTTACCTTTAGCACAGATTTTAGAACACACGTGGGTCTCTTCAGTTTTCATACACTTGGACCAAGAGGGGGTAGTTGTACACTTAGAGGGGGTTGTTGTTCCACATGTAGTTGTGCACTGATGCTTAGTGGTGGAACATTCTGTGCTGGGAGTTGTACACTGTAATGACAAGATATGAATGAGATAGGTTGATATACTTGGATCTGATGGTTGTACACTTGAAGAATGGAAATCCCATAACGACAATATTTAAGTTGATCTGACTGTCACACTTTCACCATTCAGTGTTAGTACCTAGGTAACCAATGCTACACAGTTGGTGTAAACTTGGAGGGGGGAAATCATGTAGGTAGTTGGTATAGTTGTTTAAGGATTAACATTTATTTTATGAGTTTTCTTTCTAAAAAATAATATTAGGCTACATGCTTAATGTGCTTTCATGGTGATCATTTAGGTTGACAAATTTCTGAAATTAGGCATAAAAATAAAAATAATACAATTTTACTAAATATATACTTTCAAAATGAGTTTCTCTACCCAATTTACAGGTTAATTAACATAGGTACCTCAGTAGAAGAAGTACAAGATTCTGTGGTGGGGAGGCAATCAGGCTCTATGTCTTCATTCTCTTCATAATCTCCTTCACTTTTCTCCTCTTCTTCCACTTTATCATCCTCTTCCTCCTCTTCAGCCTCTATCATTCCCTTCTTTCCACTGTTCTTTACCTTGTTTTCATTTGAGTGAAAACAGTTAAAATTAAATAATGGATAATATGTTACAATGGAAACAATACCCCCGCCGCAGCAAACCTGCAGACTAAGCGAATTTCCATTTGACTGATTGGATTTACACTGAAATGTCTACTTAAAAATATAACATTTATTCCCGATTTAAAAATAGAATTAGTTTAACAAGTACTTAGGTTTGCTGCATCAGGGAGGGTAAAACTGTTTTTTTTTGTAAAATGTTAATAGTTAGTAAGAAATAAAAACATTTTCCAAATTTGATCAAAATATGTTCATAAACAAGCAAACTACAACAGTTTACTCATTCTCCATAAGAATAACATGGGAATTTTAAATTTACAATTTTTTGGAATTTTCTCCGTAACCATTAAGCGCATAATAACGCTTCAATATACTAAATTATTTGTTTTTTGAAGCTCTACAAAATGGTTTGGAAATAAATTGCTAAATTTTATGTTTTTTGGGTCAAAAATGGGAAAAACCTATTTTTACCCCATAAAACCCCCCGTAAACACCCGTTCCCATGGTCCGATCATGCTGGATCGCGAACTCGTTCGAATAAACGTAGGTTTACACGTTTGTACCAAATTTCATCAAAATCGGATCATTTTTGCTCGAGTTATCGTGCTGACGGACACATATATATATAAATATATATATATATATATATATGAATTTGAACGGATGGTGTTTTTGGCCTCTAGGGACCTCAAAACGAAAAAAAAATCGGTCCCGCGTCCAGGTCTTACCATGAGTACTACGGTAATAGCTTATTCCCTATATGGGAAATTCGCTAAAATCACTGCATTTTTTAATATTTTTTTTATTGTTTAGTAGAGGCTATCTTGCAGATGATAATTTTCAAGATTGTACTGCAATTACTGATGCTAAGCCTGGATGTGCTGTTGTGCACAAAACATAACAGGGAGAGTACCGGTATTGTGCATCTAGGCCTAATTCTAAATTCAACTGCTAAATATCCTAATAATAAGCATAACTTAGGAACTATAACTTATTAAATGGTGGTGTCGTCATTATAACATAACTAGAAGTAAAATTGGCGATTGGCGGGATTTGAATCCCGGACCTACCAGTTCCTTCTAGCTCAGACCAGCTCGCTTTTCCAATAACCTCTGCAAACTGCCAACAAGAAGTATGTTTAAAACCATATCCAGATTCCAGAAACCCCCTCAAAACATTGCATAATGGTAACATTACTATGGTAATTCAGATTTAGGTAAATTAGGATAAACAGTACTGCCCTACTTTACTTTGAGCTTAAGGCATAATGTACTTAGTTTGAACTCAACTTTAACTCAAGAGCTTCGGAGTACGGAGTGGGATCCCTAAATGCTTTGTGTAGCTTTGTTCCTTAAGTGTATGCCTACCTAGCTGTTTCATTAGACGGGGCCAAATATTAAAAGCCCAATGATCAAGGACAGCTTGACCCAGGCTATCCCAACCATCAAATATTGGGGAAAAAATTTAGTCAAGTTTAGGCTACCTGTGGAAGGATTGCACGAGCTGGTCTTACTTCATCCTGTTTAGTGTCTTTTACATTGGTATTATCATTGAAAGGTTCAGGATCATCGAAGAAGTATGACGCATCTCGAGGAACTTGAAGTAATTCGGCGTGTTTCTGTTTCGTATCTCTCTTCGTTTGTTTATCATTGACCACACTCGCATCTGCTGTATCATTTTCAGATTTTAAACCGTCCTTTCCCGCGGATGTTAAAGCAACAAAAAGCAATAATAAAAATGTCGTCGACATTATGAGGTTGCTTCCTAGAATTAACATTTTAATTTACCTCCAACTTCCAAGATTTAGATTATCAAAATTATTACATAGCATAACCAAACTTTGTATTTAAAAGTCATTGTTGGACATCACTGTAGAAACAATTCACTGCGAGCTTGATCACATGTTAAGTAATAAATAAATTGTTCGTGTATACAATCAGCAAAAAAGCGTAAACACTTAAAACAGTAAGATCACTGATTTTAATTGTTAGATTAAGGTTAAACAAAGGGAATGGAATAGGCCTATGCTTAATCTATGGTATTACTTTTTGAGCATACAATCTTCATAGTTCATAGCTAGGAAGATTCTTTGCTGTCTATGCATGTTCTGAGTAGTATCATTGACTATAGATCTGCTCTTGTGGAGATGTATGATCAATGATAGTAACTTGTTATAGATTAAACATACTCCCTAATTGTTGGTTAGTCAATGATAGAACGTAATGGTTTTGGTTTTACTCAGCATAAATATTTTACACTACTATTTTGATTAGGAGATTAAATTTTTTTTAAATATTATTGATTTATGTTTTGATTATTAGTATAGCCTCCTCTGGTTATTTGTCTTAATTACCAATTTTAAATGAAGCCCTCCCTACGCGTAAGTCTATACGATTTTCCCCTGTATTATTGTAATAAGTTTGGCAACGATATTTGGACTCAGTATCAGAAGGAGTTAACAAAATCGTGTAATACACTTTGTTTAAACATTGAATCTTGATTTCGGTAAAAATATACAAACTAGCGAACCTTCAAACAAAATTCTCGCACAGGAGAGCATACGTTATGGTATGGCATAACCAAACGAATTTGGGTTACATTGTTGTAATTAACAGCCTTAAAAAAGAAAAAAAAATAGGTACCGTCATTTCTCTTAAATAACGGACTAATAACAAATTAACAAAATAAACCTAGGATATTTTTATATTTTTGTAGGTACCTATAGTTTTATCAAAATCCAGCACTACTTACTCTGACTACTTTTTGCAATATTATTGTTGAGAAAACGTAATTTCTTGCACATATCATTATAACTTATTGGTAAAAAATGTCTGATAGTCTACATGTGATATTGAAAGGGATCACACACGAACATACGTATTAAACTGTCGGACTATGTGCGAGCAGCGGGTGTAAACTGTAGATAAACTTAAACAAGAGAAATAAGCAGTATGCACAGGACAATCCAGAGGGTCGCCGGAAGCTGATCTTGCACATTCAAGTTTATATGACTTGTGAGTAAAATTGTGAGATACACCCATTAACCTCACTCAAGACAGTAAGAAACATGCATAAATACGAATCACAATTACCATGTACTAAAAACTTAAAAACGGCTCTTAGACACGGGCTTATTCAATAAATGTTAATGTTTACGCAAAGATCGCGTAAAGATGGTGTGGACACGAGTAGAACCACAGCCACCTCTGGTAGAACATTTAAGGTACAGCCTTGGCTAGTGCCGACGTGCCTTAAAAACTTCTACGAGTGTGTTAACAATATTTACGCGAGTTGCGTGCGCTAATTTACCTACGACTAGTTTTTAATTAATTACTAATAATCACTACTCAAAACTTCTAAGATAGATTATGTTCTCGTTTATAACCTCTCATTGCCACTGACACTGATGCAACGACTCATTGTACCAATCCCTAATTTGCACCAATCGTTAACAATTGAATTGGTTTAACAGCTGATTAGCTGAAGTTCGAAGCATTACAATTTTACTTCTTCTCTCTCAATCCTTGAACCTCATTGATGATCCGTTACCCGTGTTGTTAAGTAAAACTATCATGCTGTTATGTGAAACTTTTTAATTCTAAGAACTGAACTGAAACGGCTATTTAAAAAACGGCCGTAGGTAAAAGTAACCATCAACATAAATTCTGCAAAAATTTATGTCATAATAAGATTTAACGAACTTTTAATGCGATGTTTGCGTTTCCAAGTGTTGGCATCTCAATGATAACGATCTCAGTTAGTAACAAAACTACGGAAACAGTCTCACTGCACTGCGTTGCGCTCCCAGTGCATTAGAGATGAGGAAGGATGAGGAAGTAGTCTACGTTGGTCTACTTCACAATCATTATGTTGTGATGTACCATACTTCTAATGCTGGAGTAGACACCACACATTTTGAACCAGCTGTATAGTTATTTATTAAGATAATGTAATCGAATTTCTCACCTCACAGAGTGTGCTACTGGCTGAAGTTCGCACTCTGTCGTTGCTTCATTCAAACTAAAGCTATGTTCATTTAAAACTGGCTACAACCATAGACTAACCATCACAAGTAGACTTCTCATCCCATTATACAGTTTTAAGCTCGTGTTTGTGTCTAGTTCGTCTTGGTAACACTGGACGCTAGTGTCGACAAAGGTTTGTTTTTATTATTTTATTGTATATTTCTTTAGCTGGTGCTTTACTGTTTAGTTATATTTATAGTTAGGGGACGAACTGTTGTTTATAATTAAATCGTTTTATTTGGTTCAACGAGTATTTGGTTTTAATATTAACAATAACCAAGAA